AAGTTCACATTCCAAGCTCTCTAGGCTCCAGCTGATTGCACAAACTACGTTTGTTTTGTTCTGCTGGGACACCAGAATCCAGATCCAATCCTCCCAGCATATGGTATATGTGCTTGTGGCCCTTTTTAGAGCTAGGCATTGTTTGCTCCGCTCTACAGATGGGGAATTGGAGGCTTGGGGGTGGAGGGCTGACTTGCTCAATTCTCCACTCTGGAGCTGAGGTTTACAGTTGGCTGCTGGCATCCTTCATCAGTACACAGTGTCCAAACAGCAACCGGCTGCACTTACCTTTTCCCCCTTGGGGCCTGGAAGTCCCTGAGCAAGAAAGACAGAGAAAGAACAGGCATGAGTGAGGTGAGTTAGGCTGGCTCCACTCTGGCTGACCCATGGCTGTGAGGGCAGAGGGACGTGTGGGGCTAGCAGAACTGTGAGCATCTGAGTGGAACACGGCACAGGCCTGTCAAACTGTCCTTCCTGTCTCTGGAAGCTCCCACACCTGCCCTCAGCATGATGGAGGTGAGGGTTTGGGGTCAGCAGCAAGGGTCCACAGGCATCCTCTGGATAGCAAAAGGGTGCTACACTAGTTTTCCTGCCTAGAGGGCACACATATTCCATGCTTTGTCTGCAGGGAAGGAGGCCATTGTCCATAGTCTCCAGAATACTTGCCTTTAAGAGCAGCAGCCCCTTAAATTTTAGGCTCCATCCATCTATCCTTCAATAGGTCACCCAGCCACCCACCCATTTATCCATACAGTACTCATTTACCCATCTATTCACACATTCATGTATGCATTCATTCATTTATCTACCCATCATTTACTTACTCATTCATCTGTCCCATTCATCTATCCACTCATCTATTAGCCTACTCACCTACCCATCCACTCATTTATCCAGGCATTCACTCATTTGCTTACCCATCCATCCATCCATCCATCCATCCATCCATCCATCCATCCATCCATCCATATATCCACCTACCTACCTATCAATCTTCTCAACCCCATCCATGCACTCATTTATCCACTTATCTACCCATCTATCCGTCCTTTCTACCACCCATCCATCTGACCTATCCATTAATCCATCCATTCACCACCCACCTACCAGCACACCTATCTGCCTACCTGTTTGCCCACACCCTATTATTTATTTAATTGTGCTTATACTTCCTTGTGCACCTTGTTCACCTGCTGAGGGTGCCTGTGGAACGTGGGCTACTGGAACCGTATTGAGAACTTTTCAGCCTGACGCCCATTAGGGAAGTCTTGAGAATGTATTAGACATTCTGTGTCTAGGGCCTGTTGGGATGGACTTGTAGACTTTGAGGGCTGACAACATGCTGGAGACTGTGCTACCCATGGTTCTCCATAACTCCCTAACATCCCCTAGGAGAGGATGCTTAGAGGCAAGAAGGGGAAAGGGCATCTCCATGGTTGCTCAAACAGCAGATGGTGGAGATGGATTTGAACTCACATGACAAGTGGCTTTGTCTTGCTATACTATGTCTAGCTGCTGAACTAACTTCCCAATCCCCTCAGGTGTCCCATGGTCACTCCACTCCCACAGTGGCAGTCCTACCCCGGGACCATCTAGCACTGTTGTGGTGACTTACTGGCTTTCCGTCCAGACCCAGAGGTCCCTGGAACATGAGAGAGAGAGAGCAAGGGTTACACACAGGAACATTCTTTCCATGTCTTAGATCCCCAGTGTATTATATAGTGACAAGAAAGCAAAGCCTGTCCTGAGCCCTGAGGTCAGGGTACATCCCATGTGGCCAGGGTAGGGGATGGGGGGAGGGCATTTGAGTGTAGTCACAATCCCCTCCTCTGATAACAGAAGCCCAGTTCTTTTCTAAAGCCCTCTCCCCATCATTAGGTGGGACTGTTGAGGGTGGGCAATGACCATGCTCTCGTCAGGGTGACAGGTGCAGGCCTAGAATGCAAGCTGATCCATGAGCATCATGCCTGGGACTTCAAACAGTGCTCTTAAGGGGAAAGGGGGCTTTTTTCCTTCAACAGGTTTGAACTAGGGTTCCTTGGCCCCACCATGTGTCTTGAGAGAGCGAGAGAGAGCAAGAGCGAGCCACAGAGAAGAAAGCAGAGCTGAGAGTCGGAGAGAAAGAACAGCGCTGAGAACTCGCAGCTATATTGCTGCTGTGGTCCTGCACACTTTTGTACACTTGGGTTTCCCTTAAGCCAGCTTGACTTAAGTAGCTGCCACGTAGACTGGATGACCCTGGAAGACAGTATTCTGCTGTGACATGTGACAGTGAGGGCTGAGAGAAACTAGACGATACTGGGGCCAGGGCTGAGAGTAGGGTATCTTAGGACCACCAGGCCTCTGTGGTGTCTGAAGAGGGCCACTGACCCTAAGGGACACTCTTTGCCTGTCTATTCCCCTGTCCACTGAACATGTCTCATCCTGTCTCCCTCTAGGGCTAGAAGGATACACCATGTGGAGATTCTGCAGACCAGAGTTGCTTGGTCACTGCAAGCCCCTGTCTTCATTCTATTGTCCCTGAATCCCCACATGTATATTACCTTTTTTTATATAAGAAATGTTTCAGTTTAACGTGTACTTCACCTTTGACCCCAGGAGCATTGCCTGCAGCCCCACACTTCTGAGTCTTTGCCCATATCGTCCCTGCTGCCTGGCTCACCTTCTTCTCTCTGCATATCCTTCTTTTTTTCTTAAGATTTACTTATTTTATGTATTTGCTATCCTATCTGCATGTATACCTGCATGCCAGAAAGAGGGCATCAGGTTCCATTATAGATGGTTATGACCCACCATGTGGTTACTGGGAATTGAACTCATGACCTCTGGAAGAGCTGTCAATGCAATTAATGGCTGAACCCTCTCTCCATCCTATTTGTTTGTTTTTGTTTTTTGAGACAGGGTACCCTGGAACTGGCTCTGTAGACCAGGCCTGCCTCAAACTCAGAGGTCCGCCTGCCTCTGCCTCTACTGAGATTAAAGGTGTGACACCACTCTCTCTAGCTTGGTCACTCCTTTCCCATGAAACCTTCCAGGTTTCTCAACATCCTAGAGTCCGGTCATCTGTCCCTGTTCCTGACAATATAGTCTGATGGTTGCATGTGACACATGGTTAATGTGTGTTCTACACAAGTTCTACAACAGCCAAAAAGAAAGTTTCTTCTCTCAAGCACACGAGTGAGGCCTGACATTGAACATGTGGCCAGGGCATGCTTGGGTCAAACATTCCTCATCAGAAAACCTGAGCTTCAGGCTGTGACTGCAGCTCAGATGGTAGAGTATTTGCCAAGCATGCACAAAGCTCTGAGTTCAATCCCCAATACCACCTAAAAACCAGGCACACCTGAAATCCCAGCATTCAGAAAGTGGAGGCAAGAGGATATGTAAGTTCAAGGTTATCTTCAACTGCATAGTGAGTTCAAGGCCAGCCTAAGCTACACTGGACCCTGATTCAAAATCTGAAATTTCAAGTAGCAACACAATGCCCATGTAGACTCTTTCAAGTGGTGAAACTTTGCTTCATGCCCACAATTATTTGACTTAGTTCATTAGCAGCAGTTTCTGAGTAGAAGGTATATTTGACACGTCAGGGGTTTTGTGTTTAGACTTGGGTCCCATCATCATACATATGCAAATACAGGTTGAGTATTCTTCATCTAAAAAGGCTTGGGATACATGTATTTTGGAATTTTCTTTTTTGCATTTTGTAATATTTGCATTTACATAATGAGATATATTAGAGACGGTCCCAAGTGTAAACACAAAATGCATTTCATATATTTTATTTGCATATTATCCACCTATCTTGAAGGCAATTTTGCATGATATTAATGATTCTGTCTGTTAAGCACAATGTCATGCTGTAGAATTTTCCAGTTGGCGTTTTATGCTGACACTCAAAAAGTTTCCGACTTTGGAGCACTTCAGATTTGTAGATGAGGGGTGTCAACCTGTCACATGAGGGAGGAAGGAGAAATGGGACAGAATAATAAACGAGTCCTGGCACATCACAGCCAAGAAGGGGGCAAGTTCAGCTTTGGGTTTCGGGTAGTGGAAATGGTTAGGGAGAACTAGCTGGGGAAATACTACCTGGGGATTCGGAACTAGTTTGGATGCGGGCAGAGAAGGGTTCAACTAAGGTGGAAACAGGGAGTGCTAGGGACAGAGCTGACCCAGGGCCATGACCGGCAGAGGTGGTTCCGGGCTCATCTCTGATGAGACTGGGGTAAGAAAGGTGTCCCCAGGCCTCTGAGTTAATGCCCCTTCCGGGTGAGTGGGTGGGTCTCCAAGAGACTGCTGAGTGAGGGTGGTTACTGGGAGTCGGTGGCCACTGAGGAGTGGGGCTGAGAGATAGGTAAAGGAAGGGACATCCCATTTTGTAGTCAGATGGACCTGCCTGCCATGATGATGCGCTTCGGATGTCCCTTCTGTCCTGGGGCAGACGTGGGAAGGGGGTGGGGGGGACTGAGTTGCTCTGAGCTGTGAAACTTCCTAGGCTGGAAACTACTCAGCCTCCTCTACCTCCCTCAGACTGATGCCCCACGGTCCACTGTCCTGTAGACTTGTCCACGGAGAGATTCTACAGTCCAGGGAGCTCGAGAAACACTTAGTTTCACTCTGTGAAGCATGCTTCTTTCCCATAAGGTTTGTCCAAATCATTTTCTAGTTTGTGGGTTTCCAGTTTCATGGGAGCCCCTGCCTCCCATCTCAGGGCCTGGTTGAGACTAAGCATAACAACACAGGTATGAGGCTATATGGACTGTTTACAAAGTAGGCATTCCCTTGGGCTGGAAAAGGGCTTAAGCCTGGCTTTAGGAAGAGCTAGGAGACAAACTGGTTAATTCCAGAACAAATCTGGCTGTTGTGTGGTCAGGCTAGTGAAGGTAGGACAGAGTGCAGGCAGACTGGAAGGACAGAGCCCCAGATTGACTGTATGCACACTTTGGTGGCAGGATTAGGGCTGGGTATTTCTCCCATCAAGGCAATTCACCCACCCCTGTCCCAGACAACGGGGAACCAACAATCAGCTACTCCCGACCTTCTTGAATTTCCTGCAAGAAACACCAAGGAGTAAAGTAGCTTAGCCCTCGCTTGGCCTGGGTTCAAATTTCTCCTCCGACCCCTGCAACCCTGCCTGTGGGAACCCCCCTCTTTCTTGATCAAAGCCATAGGATCCACCAGAGGTTTTCAACACCTTCTGCCCTCCGTGAAACCCCACAGCTGTTTACAAGTTTCAGTTCTGCTTGAAGTCTCTTTTCCTTGAGGAGATCAGCTGGCTTCCGGATGTTTCTGGATGTTCGAGAAGCAAATAAAACCGCAGGCTGCACAAGAATTGAAAGCAAAGCCCCAGGCAGGTTTAGTCTCCTGCCTCACTCAGTGGCCAGGACAGCCAGGGCTTCAGCTTATCTGTAAGGCATGCTGTTCTCTTAAGTAACAAGTTCAAGTTGAGTCCCAGGTCAGCCTCCCTTTTTTCTTCCTCTCCTAGATCAATGCAAGACAGGGGATAGCTACAGGCTAGCTAACAGGGAATCGGTGTTTGAATTGGCCCTGGAAGAGGCAGTGCTGGGAGTGAACTTCATGTGACTTTCTGAGTGAGTAGGCTGTGTCACCTACTGACTTTTTTTTTTTTTTTTTTTTTTTAAATTCAAGGTCTCACATTATAGCCCTGGCTGGCCTGGAACTCACTACTGCAGACCAGGTTGGCCTCAGATTCAGAGATCCACTTGCTTCTGCTTCCAAAATGCTAGGATTAAAGATGTGAGCCATGACTCCTGTCACCCTTTAAAAAATTATTTGGGGCTGGAAAGATGGCTCAGTGGTTAAGAGCACTTGCTGATGTTGCAGGGAACCTGGGTTTGGTTCCCAGAACCTACATGATGGTTCACAACCCTTGGTAACTCCAGTTCAGTTCCAGAGATCTGATGCCCTCTGGTCTCCATGGGCACCAGGCAGGCATGTGGTACACATGCATGCATACAGGCAAAACACATAAATAAATAAACAAATAAATAATAGGAGGTCCGTTCATAAAAAATAACTTATTTTATTTTTAATTATGTGTATGTGTACCAACAGAGGCCAGAAGAGGACGTTGGATCCCTTGAAGCTGGGGTTACAGCGTGGCTCTTTCTTTCACTGCTCCATTGGGATGTTTCTAATTAGGGGTCCTTGGAGCCATCTTTTGAGAACTGAGAACAAGTATGGCAAGAGGGTTTCTTTCTTTCTTTTTAAAAATAATTTGCTTATTTTTATTTTATATGCATTGGTGTTTTTCTTGCATGCATATCTGTGTGAGGGTGTCGGGTGCCCTGGAACTGGAATTACAGATAGTTGCAAGCTGCCATGAGGGTGCTGGGAATTAAACCTGGTTCCTCTGGAAGAATAGCCAGTACTCTTAACCACTGAGCCATCTCTGCGGCCCCCAGAAAGAGGGTTTCTGACAAAGTATGTCTGGGTTGTGGGGTCTGGAGGCTCCATCGCTGGGGGCCTCAAGACGATTAACCACTGAAAGCTGCGGGAACTGCCTGCTTCATGTTGGGAATGGCAAGGGGTGGCTCTGATACTTTCTGTGTCTTCACTAGGGCAAGGGTGAAGGCAGTGGGGATGGAGGTTATCTGGGAGTTGGTCCTTCTTAGTTTTCTT